TGCGTTTGTGTGTATATACGTGTTTTGTGTATGTATATCAATGTGTTTACATTTGTTTTGTTTTGTAAATGCGTTTGTGTGTATATACGTGTTTTACGTATGTATATAAATGTGTTTACGTATGTAGGTATATAAATGTGTGTCAATATTACACTTTTGAAATGTGAAATGTTAAGATTATTTTGAACAAATGTGAAATGTTAGTTTTAAATTATTGTAAGTTTGGGTTGTCAATTGTTGGGCAAATATTAGGGTTATTTTGATGAAATGTGAAATGTTACTCGATATATGTTGGTTAAAATTTTCATATACGTTTGGGTTAAACAAATCATAAAAGTTTATATTTTTGTGTTTTAGAAATTGTTCTTCAGAAATTTGTTAAATTGTAAAACTTTTTTGTTCTTTAGAACATGGACGGACCCAACTGGATGGTTTAGGTGGCACGTGCCATCGTATTATTTCTCTGCCGAAGGGTAAAAAATTTAGGTTTGTGAACGGTTCAACCGTGCAACTGAAACCCAAATAGACACAGCCCAAATGGCCAAATCAAAAGCGTAATATACAAAGCCCAATTAATCAAACAAACTACAAAGGCCTTAGGCTTAGCCTAATAGCCCATAAACTTAGCAGCCGGCCAACGAGATTGCGAGAACAAATAGGAACAGGTCGAAGTCGGCAAGCAAGTCCAGAACTGACAGCAGCGAGTGATGAAAATCAGAAATCAGCTAGAAGACTCGAACGATTCTCAACTCTCAAGTGGCGATTCTCGAATGATTCTCGGAAATCGGACGATTCTCGAACAATTCTCATTTGCTACATGGCTATTTGGTGACTTTGGTCTCTGTTTTCACTTTTTAGATTTAGCCATTTACGTAATCGAATTAGTGATGACTTTTGAATTCTGCCCTCACATGACTCCTATTAAATGACCAACACACTCAAAACATATAATTTCCAAATAAATATGGCATAACTGCATATCACATTCCAAAACTCAACAATGAGAATGTCACGTGACTTTGGAGATTTATATAACTTATATTTTCATATTTTTATTCCATTCTCACCAAAAATGGTGGCATGATTTTTCGTGCAAGATAAATTAATAAAAATAGTCATTTTGATCCATGCAATTTATCTCTCAATCATTTCTTTCATATTTTTATCATTTTATCAATACATTCGCAAGTGCCCTTACTACAAAACTTGCGTAAGGACATTGATAAGTTAAAAAAATTAAACTTCACTTTTGTTCACTTAGGTAGCATATGGTACGCAAACATGATTGAACAGAACTGGACATGACAGAACATGACAAGGCAGAACAAGACAAGATGGTAGAACTGGACAGGACTGGATAGAACATGACAGGACTGGATAACACAAGAGTATGTTTGGTGTTTGGTACGACTGAGACTAAACTAGATAAGCTACCTACAAGAGTTATTTGATGATTTTAAATGTTATATAATAGTTATAGTTAACACAAATAAAATAAATATTTAAAGAATTTAATTTATAAATATTTGTACACAATTTTCATATAAATGAATAGTTACATATATAATGGTACCAAATTTGAATGAAAAAATTGATATAATTGATGGTAGTAGTGGTGAAGGTAGAGGTGGTTTTGGTTATGGTGGAGGTGGTGGCGGCAGCCGAAACTAGAGGTGATGACCATTAAAACAAATATCATATTAAGGTTATATATCAAACTATGGTAGATTAGTATTATTTTAGTTTATATCTCATTCTTATCCTATCTTGTTCCACCTATTTTGGTGAAACAAGAAAAAACAACTTTTGTCTCATGCTGTCTCATTTTGTCCTAGTTCTTGTCTCTGTCTCATGTCGTGCCAAATATAAGACAATGAGTTCTTATTCTGTCTCATATTGTATTAGACATGGGATAGTGATTTTTGTCTCATCCGGTCAAATCATGTCCCATCCCGTCTTATCAACCAAATGCAGCTTACGAAAAAGGCAACGATGATATTAAAAAAGTAAGTACTCTTGCGGAGAGGACACTTGTGTGGGAAGGCCACCACACAAAGAAAACCAAATCAAGAGAGAGACTAATCATTCCTCCCGTTGCAAAGGGGCACTTGTAGCCCTCACATGAAAGAGAGCATTTATTGATAACATAT